CCTGGTTGGGATGGGGGGAGGAAGGTGCCCGTGATGGGGCTGGGCACAAGTGCAGCTGATGGAACATCTGTACTGGTACAACACCTCTACCAAAGCAGATGTTGCGAGGGCTGGAGCCCCTCTGCTGTGAGGACGGGCTGAGGGAGTTGGGAATGTTCATCCTGGAGAAGAGAAGGCTCCAGGGAGACCTTAGAGCCCCTTCCAGTCCCTAAAAGGGCTAGAAGAGAGATGGGGAGGGACTCTTGATCAGGGAGGGGAGCCATAGGACAAGGGGTAATGGTTTGAAAGTGAAAGAGGAGAGATTTGGATCAGATCTCAGGAAGAAATTTTTTGCTGTGAGGGTGGTGAGAGCCTGGCCCAGGTTGCCCAGAGAAGCTGTGGATGCCCCAAACCTAGAGATGTTTGAGACCAGGCTGGACGGGTCTTTGAGCCATGTGCTCTGGTGGGAGGTGTCCCTGCCCAGGGCAGGGGTTGGAACTGGGTGATCTTTAAGGTCCCATCCAATTCTAAGAATTCTGTGATTCTGTGCAACACCCGCACCTCGGTACTGAGGGTGTGTAAACCAGCGTCCAATTCTAAGCATTCTATGATTCTGTGCAACACCTGCACCTCGGTACTGAGGGTGTGTAAACCAGCTGGAAAGGCTTGGAGGAGAGGGAAGGTGGCACGAGCTCCATTTGTATTTTAAATAGAGCCTAGTTGCAGATTCGTGCAAGGGTCTTCTTGGGGGGGGAGGCACACCGGAGATGTGCGAGGCACATCTTTGGGGCCACCCATAGGGTCTTCACCTGGGCCAAGAGGGGTTTTCAGCCTGGTGGGGTTAGTCTGAGCCTGTTCTACACCAAGTGCCCCTCAGCAGGGTTGCTCAGTGTGTTCCCACCACCCTGGTGGGATGGGGGTCACACTCGGGGGGTGCCGCCTCCGCCTGAAGCTGTGTGATGGAAACGTGAATCTTGGACAGATCTGGGAGCGAGGGGGGGACTCATGGGCCGGGCTGGGTCTGGAGGAGGGCTGTGGTGCACAGATGGAAGAGTAATTAAGAATAATAAAAGGAAAGAGACTTGGATTCGCTACAGTCTCAGCACATTAATTGTGCTTTGGGGCCCAAATCATAACGGAGTCCTGCCAGAGGGAATCCAGAAGAGAAACCAAACGTCTCGCTCTGTCCAAAGCTGACCATTTAAGAGACCCTTGCCTTCATCTGCTGCCAGGTATTACTTCCAGAGCCTCCCATCTGCCAAAAACCCAAGTTCTTGTTTGAAATATTTTTAGGGGAGGAGGAAAAGCTACGGTGACACTCCGGGTGCTGGCGGTGGGGAGGCAGAGTGTGGTGTGCCGGGGCCAGCACGTGGCACCACTTGCTGCTGGAGGTGGAAACATGGGGGTTTTGGGGGGTTCTCCTCCCCGCAGAGCCCTCTGTCCCAGCTGGCTGGCATGTGTCACTTGGGCTGGGACTTGGCGTTTGGCTGGTCTTGTGCCCAAGGACAGGGGGAGTTGTGCCAGCACGTGGAGGTCCTGCCTGGGCTTCCGTGCAGGCTGAGCATCTCTTCTAAATTGACAAGCAATTACATGGTTAATGGTATCAATGTTAAATCCTCATCACTCAGCAGCCTAAGGCTTAATGCTTCATTAAGGCAAAGGCATCTAATAGCTCTACGGGCTGGGAGCTGCCTTTTCTTTAAGCTTGAGTAGAAGTCATCTGGCCAGAGGCTGCTTTTGCTCTCCTGGTCCTACAGCCCAACTGGAAGTCCCTCCAGAATGGAAGGGGGACAGGAGGATGCTCCCGTTCGCTCAGTGCTGCTGGGACCGCCCGGATCAAGCCTTGCTGATGTGACAGTGGCCAACGTGGGGTGTGAAAAGCACAGCTTGATGTTTGAGACCTGCCATTTCCTATTCCCCATGGTATCCCCACCTCCCTGCCTGGCTTCCTTCGGCGTTTTCTAGCCCTGCCTCCTGCTCCCAACCCTACACCCACCTCTCCTGGGCTGGGGGCTGCCTCTCGCCTCTCCCTGCTGTCGTGCCTGTGGATTTAACCTTTTTCTCCCCTGCGTTACTGTGTGTTTGTTGATGGTGACTCATCCACCAGTTGAGGATCGGTGGTGCCTCCACCGCCCTTCCACGAGCTTTGGGCTTCGGTCTCGTTGCTCGCCATGTGCCTCCCGGATCTCGTGTCTCTGCTGGAACGGTGCCGGCCTCGGGCCTGATCCTGTGACCTTCTGCTGGTAAATCTTCCACTCAGAAAAACAAGTAACAGCGTGAGGATCAGCTCTCCCATCTCTGAGCTTTGTGGTGAAGCACGACGGAGGAGCCTGCAGTGCTGTCACTGCAGCCCCCCACCCGTGGGTCACTGGGGATCCCCTCAACCAGAGCCCCCCACCCGCCTCTGGACCTGCTGCTCAGCAACACATCTACCTGTTTATATTAAACTCGTCCAAAGTTGTACTCTTTCAGCCATATGGATGGGATTTGGACTTTGGGAAGCCCGACTGGCTGCGTGGAGCATCTTGCTTTGCTTTGCTTTGCTTTGGCCCGTTTTGGATCTATAGAGAGCGTGGCAGCGTGTGTCCTTGTTTCAAGAGCCTGTACCCGAGACCATCACCATGGTTTTTGCAAGTGTTTTACCCTTTTAGCTGCCCTTTTTATGTTCCCTCAAGTGCTTCATTTATTTTTTTTTTTCATGCGGTTCCCTTTCAAAGGTGCTTTTTCCCCCTCATCATTATTATGATCAGAACAAGAAGAGGCTTCTTGAACAGAGTCCTGCGTGCGGCGCGGGAGGAAGGATGCTGGGCTGCGTACCCTCGCCCGTCCCTGGGGCTCCAGCTGCTGTTCCTCTCTCCTTTTTGGATGTTTAATATTTTTGTCACATCAAAATGCAACGTCTCCAGAGTTATTTTGGAGGAAATTATGTCCCCCGTTACCGCTGCGTGCTCTACCTTTGCAGGATCTCCTAGTTCCCCACGCCTGAGCCCTACTTATTCTCTAGATTGTTTTGATATAATTATGTTCTAACCTTATAAATAAGACCTTATGAGGTCTCGTAGAGGCTGGTTTTTACACGCTGCTCTCTTTTTCCCCTGCCCTGCTGTGCCGGAGTGTGAATTTCACTGAATTTCACTGAATTTTAGAGTTGGAAGGGACCATAGAGATCATCTAGTCCAACTCCCCAATGGGTGAAGCCTGTTGGAGATGGAGCAACTCATGGCACGGTGCTCGTGGAACTGCTTCAGGGCCATGAGCTGGGACGTTACCGGCTTATTTTATCCCAAAACCAGTGCCTCTGGCCTGGGAAAACTGGGCTGCTGTGCCTTCTGTTGGAGTTAGCTCCCCGAGTTGGTTTTTATGGGGAGTTTTTCCGCAGGCTCCTGACTCTGCTTCGCGTTGGGAAGAGCTTCCACAGGCTGCAGGGGGGGTGTTTCTCCCTTTTTCCAGGCGTTTGCAGCGGGATTTGTGCTGATGAGGCTCCTGACAAAACGCCCGGCAGCGAATCCCAGATGCCTGGATGTACAGCTCTGTCCAGGGAGCTGCTGGCAGGCAGAACCCCGCTGCGGGAGAGGAGATAACTCAGCAAACAGTCCAGTGACTTTTCTGATGAATAAAACACTCGCTGGCGTTTTCACGCGAGAGCCTCGATTGCACAGAGATGTTTGGATGGAGCTGGTGGACTTTGAGCTCCCATCCCGGCGGGATCCAGGCTTGCTTTCCGGCGTAGCTCGGCATCGGAGTCCTCATCGAGGCACCCGAGGGTCCTGCAAAGGGAGTAGAGGAGAAAAAAATTAAGACCTTGCTCCATAATCAGCCTCTTCCCATCGCCTCCTCACGGACACCCAGCGGGGGTCTGATGGATTCATCCCCTCTGGCTGTTAGTCACCTCCTCTCTCCCAAACCAGAGTTTTTTGCAGGATGCAGGCAGGAATTGGGCTGCACAGGCAACCTGAAACCCCGGGGCTGAGTTTTGGCATTCAGGCTCGGGGTAGGTGTTGGCTACGTCGTCGTGCTGGCCGAATCCTGCTTTTCCTCACTCCTTTGTCTTGGAAAAATTCTCCCCGTTGCTTCGTGATTCTCCTTGCGTCGCCTTTTCCCAGCCCCGCTCCTGCCGTGCTTCTCCCAGGTTTTTGGTGCTTCCCTGGCTGAACAAATCCCCGTGCCTGGATTTGCTGGAATGATTTGTGTTTGCTGTGATGGGTGGAGGTGCCAGAGGGGGCTGCGTGCCAGAGCCCCCCCCCCTCCGTATCACCCGTCTGCTCTGCACAGCGTCCCCCTTTTTGGGGTCAGAAGCCAGATTTTTCGAGTGTGTTTAGCAGAATCTGCCATTTAGGTGCTTAACCCTGTAATCCTCTGGTTTGGCTTTTTTATTTCTCGTGTCCCCCCCCTGCCCTGGGCTGTCCCTGCCGTGGCAGAGGGCTGGCGTGGGTGGGGACCCTGTCCTTGCGTGGTGGCAGTGGGAGACGTGCGGCTCCCTGTGCTCCCGCAGGATTGAAAGGCTTAAAAAAATCTGTGCCGGGTAAAGCAAAAAAAAAAGTTAATGTGAATTTAACTGACTTCTGCCCTGCAATTAAAGCCACTCAACCCCATTGGGGCTCTGAGTTTACATTCTTTACTGAGGCACACTGTGTAATTATATATGTATAATTTAAACTGTGCATATGCATGTGTTCCTATTATACACCAAGGAGCAAAGGAAATTATCCAGGAATTAAAGGGGGAGGAGGGTGCGGGCGCGGAGAATGGCTCGCTTGTGTGGATGTGGCAGCGAGGGGAAGCTGGAGGGATCACATCCTCACGGCTCCAAACATCTTTGGAAGGTGCAGAAAATGAGAAGTTCTGTGTGTAAAACACTCGCGGTGGCCTCTGGGCTGGGACATGAAGGAACGGCCGTGGCGGGGGGTCAGGAGCTCCTGCCAGGTCCCTCGGTGGCACCTGGGGACAGCAGAGACCTTCCCAGCAGGGGACCTTCCAGCTCCCAGGAATTCTGCTTAACCCGTCCCTCTCTTTTCTTACAGCCACTTCCAACGGGACGCTGGATGGCCTGGAGAACCGGGAAGGAGGAGTCTGCCAGACACGCTCCATGAAGATTGTCATGAAAGTGGGGCAGGGTGAGTCCTTCTGGGGTTTCCTGTTGCCGAAATGCCTTTGCCCAGCAAAACGCTGGCCCCTGTCCTGCCGTGGTGGTGGGTTTTCTGGATTCTGGGGAAACTGAGGCCTCTTGGTAGCGGTGGTCACTGCGCCGTGGTGGCAGCAGGACACCAAGGGTATCACTGATGGCATTGATGTGGCAGAGTGTGCTCTTCTCCTAGGGGGGAACCCCCATCCTGAGCTGCTGGGTGTCTTCCAGCCCCAAGGATGCCCCGGCCTCGGATGCACAGCTCCTGGTGGCTGCTTTTCATTACTGTGTTTTCACTTTGGGGCCAATATTTATAATAAACAGAAGAAGCAGCACTGCAGCCTTGGCAAGCTCCTTTCCCGTTCCTGCTGCTGCCCGTGTGAGAAACTCGCCCCAACCCACGCACGGGAGCTCAGAAAACATAAAAGCAGGAGGGGATTAGGGTGGGGAAGCTGCTTCCCACAAGCCCTGAAGCAGCTCAGCCTTGTTGGGTTGCTCTCGGCAGCTCCCATCGCTCCCACTTCTCCCCTGCACCCTGTGGGAGGTGGCCGGCTGGGATTTTTTTTGGGGGGAGGGTGGGGAACGAGCTTATTTCCATTCAGGTTGAATCGAGGTTTCTCATCTGTGCCTTCCTTTTCCTCCCCAGATCCCAACGCAGTGATCCCGGAGCAGCTGACGACGAGTCGGCCCAGCAAGGAATCCGACAACACCGTGAAAATCGTCACGCAGAGCCCACGCAGCAAGGTCCCCGCCGTGGAGGAGCCTGGCAAACCGGGTGGGTTTTACTGGGGACACCCCAGGAGAGTGATGGGGTCGGAGGAACCGCAGGTTGGCCACCGGCTGCTGCCAGCAGAGCAGCTCCCAGCTGGGCTTGTTGCGTGGATCCTGGGGATACTGGGTGCTCCGGAGCAGAGATACAGATGGGTTTCCTGTAAAATGCCCATCTCTGCCATCCCCACCACTTGCAGCATCTCCTCGCCCCCAGTTCACTGAATTGCACTGAATGTCACTGAATTTTAGAGTTGGAAGGGCCCATAGAGATCATCTAGTCCACCTCCCCTGCTGAAGCAGGATTGCCTAGAGCTAGAGCATGTTACTCAGGAGCATCCAGGCGGGTCTTGAAAATCTCCAAGGAAGGGGACTCCACAGCCTCCCTGGGCAGCCTGTTCCAGGGCTCTGTCACCCTCACCGTGAAGAAGTTTCTCCTCATATTTGAGTGGAACCTCTTCTGTTCCAACTCGTGCCCGTTGCCCCTCGTCCTCTCACTGGGAACCACTGAAAAGAGTCTGGCTCCCTCCTCCTTCAACCCACCCTTGAGATACTTGTAGGCGTTGATAAGGTCTCCCCTCAGCCTTCTCTTCTCCAGACTAAAGAGTCCCAGCTCTCTCAGTCTCTCCTCATAAGGGAGATGCTCCAATCCTTGAATCATCTTGGTCGCCCTTCGCTGGACTCTTTCTAGTAGTTCCCTGTCCCTCTTGAACTGTGCTTTCTGGCCAGGGACTGCTCGGGGCCCAGCCAGGCTGCGGTGCGGAGCAGCTCGGGTTTGTTTTCCCAGCTCCGGTATGTCCTGGCAGGAGCTTTGCAGGGAAGTGCTGTTTCAGCACTCTCTTCCTCCTCCAACTCCTCCTCCTCCTCCTCCTCGCTGCCCATCTGTTCCTCGCAGTACATCTGAGAGGGTTTGGAGGAGGTGAGGTCCTTGGGTTTTTCGAGCTGAGCCAGTGTGAAAGCCCTTTGAAGGTGATTTCCTGAGTTCCTGACCCTGCTGAGAGAAAAGTGAAATCAGATGAAGAGGGGAAGAGTTGGCTCTTTTCTTCTCGCCTGGTAGGGCCAGCCAAACGCTCTCCCCTCGGGGGGCTGGGGCTGCCCCGGCCGGGGGGTCAGGAGGAGGCAGGGGGTCAGTAATCAGATATCACAGGGCTCCGGGGCTCGCAGCCCTGCTTTCAGCAGAGCATCCAGGTCTGTTGTGGAGAGAAAGCCTCCTGGGGTCCTGGCTGGTTGTCACCCGGACACGAGCAGCGCTCTGCTCCATTAGCCAGGAGATGGAAAGGGGGAGCAGCGATGTGGGGTGGGGGAGAAGACATGTGGTATCTCATCTGTGGGTGCCCAGGGCTCCTGCCAGCCCTTGCCCAGAGCCTGCAGTGACCGAGGGAGGGTTTGCCCATCCACAGGGTGTGATCCACGGATGGGCAGAGCAGGGAACCAGGTGGGGCACACTCTGTCCCCACTGTGGGCTCTGACACCCCTCTCCCCTTGGCCTTGCAGGTTCCGTCAACCAGGACGGCCAGGAGACCCAAGGTCCCAGCGACGGCTTCTTGAGCTCCAAGGTGGCCGTCTTCGCAGCCATCGGCGCCGGCTGCGTCATCTTCATCCTCATCATCATCTTCCTCGTGGTCCTCCTGATCAAGATCCGCAAGCGGCACCGGAAGCACACGCAGCAGCGAGCCGCGGCCTTGTCCCTCAGCACTTTGGCCAGCCCCAAATGCAGCGGGAACGCGGGCTCTGAGCCCAGCGACATCATCATCCCCTTACGGACTACAGAGAACAACTACTGCCCCCACTACGAGAAGGTGAGCGGGGACTACGGGCACCCCGTCTACATCGTCCAGGAGATGCCCCCCCAGAGCCCAGCCAACATTTACTACAAGGTGTGAGGAGCAGCCTGGGCAAGCCGCCGATGCACGGAGCACGGGAGCGCCGGGCGCAAGGATGGCGGGGGGGTTGGAGCAGCCCATTTTCACCCCCCCCCCGGGTCTCCCCACGGGCGGTCTGGCGCCGGGAGGGAGGAAGAGCAACGAACCCCCCCCACGGCACGGCGCAGGGAGCGCCAGGGTCCGGCGCCGGAGAGCGGATGGCTCGCTCGCCCGCTGGTTCTCCCCTTTGTATTTAGTTTTGTAGTTCTCAGCTTTTTGTAATCCCGAGACTTCGAGGGTGAGCCTTCAGCATCCTCCTCTTCTTCTCCAGACTGCGGCCGGCCAGGGCAAGGCGGGGGGGGAGCGGGCGCTGTGCCTTTCCGTGTGCTTGCTCGGACACAAACCCGGAGACTCCACCACCTCTTAATTTTTTTTTTTTTTTTAATTCATTTTTGGGATTTCCCTGCGTCATCCCCTACGTCCTTGCGTCAAGTGCCCGTGTGCCTGGCGCCCACATCGGCCACCGCTCGGGTCCCAGAGCCTGGACCAACACCAGGGCCGTGGCTGGGAGCCTGGGTGCGAGGAGGAGGAAGGAGCAAGCAGCCGTGGGGGGGGGAGGAGGAGGATGCTTTTGCCTAGGTGCCAAGATGCAGACAACTGTGCAGGGAGGAAGCTGGCAAACCCGATTTACTACTACTACTATTATTATTATTATAATTATTTTAAATTTTTTGTTTGTTTGTTTGTTTGTTTTTTGTTTTTTTGTTTTTTTTTGGTTTTTTTCGGTTTTGTAACATTTTTATTTTTGTGAATTCCGGGCGGGCCTCTGGCCCCCGCCACCCCTCGGGCACAC